CCCGCCCCTCCATTCAAAACAGACTCCTGGGCTTGACTCGGGGAGCGCGCTGAAGAGAAGCAATCTTGCCCGGGCTGGGCTGGAGCGAACCCTGCACTCCGGAGCTACCGGCAGGAAACTCGACGGTGCGCGCCGTTAGCCCACAGCCAGCTGACTGAACGGGGCAGCTCCTGGAGGCCAAGCACCCAGCCACTGGGAACAGGTACCTTTTTAGCCCAGCCATGCATGAGGATGTTGTACATCTCGATACCCAGCAGCTTCCTCCTGGCATGGGAGCGGTGGTAGAACATCAGGCACTGCTGGGCCCGCTCGGGCTGGCCCAGGAAGAGGCAGCACTAGCCCACAGCCAGCTGACTGAACGGGGCAGCTCCTGGAGGCCAAGCACCCAGCCACTGGGAACAGGTACCTTTTTAGCCCAGCCATGCATGAGGATGTTGTACATCTCGATACCCAGCAGCTTCCTCCTGGCATGGGAGCGGTGGTAGAACATCAGGCACTGCTGGGCCCGCTCGGGCTGGCCCAGGAAGAGGCAGCACTCCAGGTAGGACATGATGATGAGCTGGATGCTCCCGTACTTGTTATCCTCCTTGTCTTTCAGCCTCAGGTCCCACTGCACCATCGGCCCCTCTAGCTCCCCCATCTCCGGCCATTCCTCCAGTCTGCTCTGTTCATACCCCTGCGGAGCACAGGGGCTGGCAGGAGAGCCCCGCTTGGGGGAGTCCTGGGAAGGAGCCACAGTGGCCCTGCGGCTTTCATGGAAGGTCTTGGATTTGCCTGATACCTTTGGATTTGTGCCTCCCTTTGGGGAAATGGCTTTGGCCCGGCCTGGACTCTCTGTGGCCACAGCAGCCTTACGTGGCTTCGTGGCCGGCGTACTAGTTCGGAGAATTTCTGCTCCAGCCTCAACTGTCTCTTATGTTTGATCCATTTCTCCTTTTTCAGCTTTTCGACCCAGCGGCTGGGCTGGGAAGGGGCCCCGCAGGAGGAGACGCCCCCATCCTTGCCTGTCGGAGCTGGTGCCTTCCCCGCGGGGCTTGGCACAGCTGCCTTTGGTGCTGGGCTCTTCTGCAGCGGGGCAACGGCCACACGGTCAACTGTCACCTCTGAGACATTATCGGCCTGGAGCTGCTTGACACGAGCCTCCAGCACTGCCAGGGGAGCGAACAGGGAACTGTGATGCCTGGTCACTGCAGACAGTCCCCACCCAGGTCCCTCCCCCACCTGTGCATCTCCGCATGCCCCGCTCGCCCAGCTCACACAGGCCTGGGGCTCAGCAGAAGCCCAGCCTAGAGGATGCGTTAGCTGACGTCACAGGGAATATGCTGGCCTTGAAACTGCATTTCTACAGAGCCTTCCAGCAGAGCCGTGGGACACTGCTCGGACACCCCACCTCAGCGAGGCCAGTGTGGTCCCAGCTCCCACTGGGCACCCCGCGTGGCAGAGGCAGATCTCAACCCCCTAGGGCAGTGTTTCCCAAAAGTGGGTCCTACCCAGGAGCGGCCCGAGGCCAGCTGCAGCAGATCAACGCCCCTGCCTGCATGGCCGTCAATGGCCGCGACGTCATCATTGGGCACCCGGGCCAGCGGCACCCTAGCGCCTGCCTAGTTCGCGTAGGCTCATGGGCCGCCCCTGGTCCTACCCTACCAGGGGGTGGCAGGAAGGCTGCCAGAGTCAGAGCCAGATTAACCCATCGCTGGGCCCTGCCCAGGCAACGAACGTTTCTGTCCCACCATGAAGGTCCGGAGGGCTGGACAGCGAACCCGCCTTGCACTCACTCTGCAGGGCTGAGTCCAACCCGAGTGGCACTGCAACCCCTCTGCCTGGTCACAATGCCTGGAACAGGGAGCCAGGCCCAGCCCCGCAGCTGCTGGGGAGGAGGAGAGGGGTTTCCTCTCCAACCGCCCCCTCCCACCAGGCTGGAATTGGGGTTGTGACGCTGGGGTGCAGGCTGCATGTGAGTAATGGTGGGGGACAAAGAAAGCTCAAAAGGGTTTCCTTCCCTAGCATCTGAGAACCACTGCACTAGGGCATCGCTCGCAACCACCCCTCTCCTTAGGGGTCCCTACCCTGGGCTGCGCTGTAAGTGGGGTCAGGGCAGGGAAAGGTGAAAACCCCTGTTGTGCAGCACACCTCAGCCCAGACAGGCCAGGAGGTGGGGGCAGCGAAAGGATCCTTCCCAGTGCCACCGGGGCATCTGCCCCCAGGCTAAGGGTCTGCGCACAAACCTCAGCGAGCAGCAAACCCGGCCTGCTCCAGGAGGGAGAGGGCCTCTGCTGATGCCTTCAGCTCTCCCGGTTTCCAACTTACCCTCCAGCAGCTCAGCCTTCTCGGCTGCCTCCTTCGCGCTGGCGGAGGAATTTCTCGTTGCCGTCCATCTCCCTGCGGCAAAAAGGGACAATGAGGGTGAGCCAGAGCAGCTAAGAGAACCAGCCCGGGGGGCAGCTCGTGCCCCACGCCGCACGGCAGAGCTCCCCTTGCGGGGGGGG